AGCTCAGGTTTAACACTAGCATATGATGATAGGTGGGCTACATGCTGATCAATCACACTGACGGTCTCACAAGTATGCATGCCTTCTGCAACTTCATCTGCATTTATTTCTTCTTCACATTCAAGTTGTTCAGAACTTTTGTTCAACTCAGCAGTAGTAGGCATATCTATCATCTCATCATGATCAACCAAAGACAACTGTGAAGTATCATGATCATTATCACGAATATTCACCTTACCGTCAACTTTATTATTTTCAAACTCTTTAATAACAGAAGTAGACAATTTTGATTCCTCCTCGCAAATCCTAAAAGGTTTTGTATCTTCACTCTGACTAGTTATACTTTGTAAACTTGTGGAGTCAGAACTCCACTCTGAAGCAGTAACTCTATTCTGTGACACTCTATTCAACAATGGCTTACCAGTTGTAACTACAGATTTCCTGACCGCACCGTTATCGTCACACAATTTGGAATCAGACCTTGATTTCTCATATAGCTCATCACTGAACCTGCTCGCTGATTTACAGTTCATCTTTGTATGCACTTCTTGCAAACGTGATGAAGTCCTACGTGCAATCGAACAAAATACCTACAAAACCAATACTTGAATACGTGTAAAACTCAACCGTGTTTGTCTTGTATCTCGTAACCTATCTGTTAAGGGTGTACCACGAAAGCTGTTACACTCATTATGTCTATATGCATTGCTAGACACCATAGAGCCTTCTAGATATCCACCTCTCTGAGACCCTTTCATAGTCAATGCTTGCATTTTACCCTCAGACTGCTCTATTCTAGGGGTGGGATGCAATATTCTGGCAAACTTGTTCATAGATTGATTGACACCATCGTTTACCAGTTTCAGAATATCGTCGAACTTTGGCTCGATACCCTCATCCTCCATACGGGAGCTTATCTTCACCCACTTCCTTTGCAGTCGAGTAGGTAGGCGTCTTGCTATTACTTCTAGTATAAAACTCGAGTTGAGGTCACTCATGCAATTCATCGATATCAATGCATTCTTGTAAGTCAACAGATTATCCAGAAACTCATTGAGTGCCTTGGAGTCATCTTGTAAGTGACTCCCATTTCTTTATTTACAGCTTGATTCCACACCATACATGTGTGGATTTTTCAGCGTGGATATCGGTGGCCCAAAATTCGCAGGCCGACCATAGATATCCAGTATGCTTCGGTGTGGGCTCGAGCCCCGGACCATGTGCCTGGTCGGCGAGAGCCCTAACCACTGTGCCACCATTACCCCCAACAGCCTCGTGTATTTCCCCACAATCATCGAAGGTCTTCCGAATGTTTGCCGTAGTATACTCATAGCCTCAGGGTATCTTTCGTTAGGGGGCATCAACTTACAGCACTGTATGGCTCTTGAAGCATCTCCAGTGCAATACCTCATCAAATACATTAACTTCAATTCATCACTTAATAGAAAACCACTCAACATGATCTCAAACTCCTTTACAAATTGTAAATAATCGGCCGGGTTTCCATCAAAACACCGTGGTTCAAATTTAGGGAGTTTGATGTTCCTATCATCCCTGAACGGCGAAACAATAACATCAAACATGTCATGCTTAACATCAGACACATCGTTACAATTAACAGACAAGTCACCATGACTTACTTTCCTGTTTGTATCCAAGACACTCTGTCCCTTCTTTGACCCAGGCATTGTTGAACTTGACCCAATTCCAAAAACGTTCCAGATATTGCTTGTTCAAAGAGGACTTGACCGGCACCACGAAAGATCAACGGAGACTATCCAAACGTGAGAACCTATCAATCACGTCTCGTAAACTGTTAATGCCCAGCTGTTGCTACGCTGGGACTCACGCTGTTCCTCGAAGCTTCTCAGAAACGCTTAGTACGAACAAACGCGAAAGCCACAACACCGATTGGCCACTCGAGAATTCTCTATTCTAACACCAACATATCAGCAGCATAATAAACTAAGGTTTCTGACGGTTTTTCTACGTTCTTTCTGAACAGCGACCGATGAGACGATGAATAGTGTATTGATGCCTCCGCGAAAATATAGAGAAGTTGGGTTTGAGTAGCCAACCATGAATTGATCGTTCAATGTTCAACTACATTGACGAGAATTATAAACTATTTATACCTAGAACGAATCAATTATTAGTGTACTATAATACGTGAAAATGTGTTTTTATCCCCTAACTACTCTATGAGCGATAAATAAACTAGTCGCAATCGCACATCGAAAGACTAAGTAGAAATTGTTGCTGTCTTTTAACTTTAGTTTGTAGGTACAATCTGCAAACTAGTCATTCAGTCAAGCATACAAGAAATATAGTAATATTTCCTTTGGATTAACAAAGTCACCATGCATTTTTTGGATGGATGGCAAATATTTGCGAAAAAATAAGGCTTGAAGGCAACTGGAGCTTCAACATTTTCATTAATAAAAACAATATTGACTCTAATCTGTCACGTACTTTCGGTACAAATATGGAATTTTCAATACCTTATACACTATTGTATCTAATCTTCTCATTCCACAGGAGATAAATAAATTGGAGCATTTACGTTAATATCAGTTTACAATAATAGTATCGTTCGATAAGTAATGAGTGGCTTGTTGTAATCTGTGAAAAAATGATCCCTAAATTGCCTGTATCTTTTCTGATATACTCGAGTCTTTTACTGCACATGGAATTTTGAGACGCACCGGTTAGTCCGCTGGAAGCGGCACCAGCTTCAGGATCTGTGGGTCGACAGTCTTCGATGCCGGAACATTTACACATGGTGCGATTTGATATCACACATTAATTTTTCCAAAATAACTTAGAGTATGGTTCTGCGGCAGCTGACTAATTTGACTGCAGGAAACTCCCCAGGAAGTGAAGGCATCCTTTAGTGGTTTCTAAGCAATATATCGAAGCCGTATATGTTCCACCAAGTAAGCTGTCTAAGGATCAATGGATATTTGGTGCACCTTCCAGTATTTTATCTTGTTTTAACTTGTCCACGTAGTGACAGGCTTGAACTATATTTTGTTCTCTTCACCTGTACAGTTAACACATTTACAGGGTTGGGAACTCGGATTTACCAGTTAGATAAGTTCTAAATCCTTTTTCTTGAACAATCTTGATTCTTTATTTTACTCAAATGAAATGCTCATTAGAGCGCCTTACAAATTGACTTAGTCTTTTCAATTTGATTTTCGTCGTCTGTGCTTAAAAGCCAGGCAGAGATCCGATCTATTGGAAAACTCGGTAAATCACGTATATTGAGTGCCGATGTAGCGTAGCGCCATCAGTACCAGACAGGCGTATGTTATTTGTCGATGGAAAAAACGTGCGACCCCACCACCTTTTTTAAAGGAAGGGGATTGGCGAAGCCCTAATCGTGACATACAGCCCCTATCGATGTCGTTGAAGATTGAACGATCAATTCATGGTTGTTTGCTCAAACCCAACTTCTCTATATTTTCGCGGAGGCATCAATACACCAGTCGTTGTCTCATCGGTCGCTGTTCAGAAGAAAGATTAAAAACTGTCGGAAACCACACTCTTTAAAAGCAGTATTGCCGGTTATATGTTGGCGTGAGAATAAAGAATTCTCGAGTCGCCAAACAGTGTTTTGGTTTTTGAGTCGGTTAATACTAAGCGTTTCCGAAAATCTTCGAGAGACAGTGTGAGGCCCAGCGTAGCAAGAGCTGGTCGTTAACGGTTTATGAGACTTTACTTACAGCCAGTGTCAGAATATGATATGTGGTGGGGTGCCGACTGGGTGACCCAATCTGGGAGCGTCCCACACGGAGCCAAACGAGGATTCAGAAATTACATGTCCTGCAACACTTAATTTGTTAGAATCTTGGGATGTTGGAACGACTGGCTGCAGTTACAGCACTCCATTCCGCGTCTTGTACTTGTAACAATCCCATACACTACCAGCACAAACTTGAGGCTACATTGAAAGGAGGAATTCTGGTATGAAGAAAAACTAAGTAACTACTAAATGCTTTTCTTGATCATCATGAATGGACTCCCTGACAAATTGCGCCCACCCTCATTTTTATGCTCGTATGATGTAATGCCATATATAGCCACAAAAAGTTCGGGGATCAGATAGAGCTCCAGAAAGAGCTGACCAAATTGAGAGACTAGGCCACCGAAAATAGGTCGCGTTTCGACACTGACTAGCGTCGGGTTATTATCATCCGTAAACCAGAAAAACCATTTCCACACTGCTTATGTTGGACTGATCTATCCAAAGAAGGGTGATCTCGGGCTACTCTAGATATATGGAATAGATACATGTGCTAAATGCGTTGAAGACTCGAAAAACGTTGGACACAAAACATTTAAGACTTTCAGAGGGCGTAAAGCTGGATGGAGATGCATATTCCGCACCACATAGGGGAGTCCGAAAGCTATAAGAACTTTTCTTTCGTCACTCATACACTATAAAGGTATAGACACCAGTGAAAAGTGCACCATGATCATTCCACTGAATAAGAAACTTACCAGAATCTTTCAGCAACAAAGATAATTGAAGCAAGTACTTCAGTGACGCATCAAATCACTCCGTGTTCTTAAAGCGCTGAAAAGGTAGCGTCAGGTGCTGCTCAACTAACTTTTGGGAGCTAAGCGTGAAACAGCATGAATTCATATGTGAAGAAACGCATTTCTAAGGCAAGATTCAAGATAAAAGGCGAAGCGTCTTTCCGAATGGCTAGTTTCTAAAGCAATCTAGACACCTAAAAATATTTAGTTTTGTAGCCCTAAATGACATCTGCAGTACAATGAGTACGGAAAAGAATGAATAATCCTTCGATTCTAGACAGTGACTGGAGAATCGCTGGTTTTTCCGCACAAAGAGCTTTCCTGGAGTTGTTATTACGTGGCTTAAGTGATTTAGTCTATCACTTCTAGTGGACGGGGTTTATTACCTGAACCTCCAAACTTTGTTTTATTCAGTCAGTTTCGAAGGACATACAACACGCAAAATATTAATCTAAATGGAAGATGGGGTGTTTTGTGAGTTTCTGCCAACTTGTCATGCATTTTCTGCACTTCAGATGACTCGAAACAAAATATGGAAAGAATCAGCGAGGTTGAACGGCTTTTCGGGTTCCCATCCAATGTACACTTGGTTTGCATAAAGAGACTAATTTCTAGAAACTGGTAACTACAAATCGTGTATTGGTAGGAGAGGGTGTTCTTACTAAGATATGCAGGAGGAAGCCCAAACTAAGACACTTTTTCTTGTTTAATGATGTCCTGATTTATGGAAGAATTGTTGTGAACAGAAAAGTCGTAAGTTTTGGAGTTGAGTTAATCTGGAATCTTTCAGCTTCGCAATCCTCAGTTTATTGACCTTGCGGATGTCTCTGTGAAGAACGTTTTGGACAACGGCAGTAGGTCAAGTTTACTCCTAATTCTCTTTAGTCTACCGAAACGGATTTTCAATCCTTAGTCCTAGAAAGTCTTTCACTGTTTACGCAAGTACATCTGAAGAAAAAGCTCAGTGGGTAGTTCATTTGAGGAAGTGCATTTCGAATTCCCTCCATTCCAGTTAGTTTATTTTTTGTGTTCATTTACTAATGGCTTTGTTAATGCAGTGTTATCGAGATTCTGAATTTAGTTTTTATATAGGTAGTGTATTTGTTAGTAATATACTTTTTTACCGACATTTTTTATTAAATTTGGCGGATGTTATTTGCTTTCTGAAAATTAATTCTTATTTCTTGGGAGCTATTGGGATATTATGTTTTCCAGCTGCATCTCCTTGAGCTATAATGAGATATTTCTGTTGGTTTATGTTTCTCGTGATATATTTAATATGTGAGGACACTGTAAATATGTGTCATGAATCAGTTAGTGATCGATGGAACAGTTGGACAACGCATTGGTATTTCAACTTGTATTGTTATCTTCGATCGAAAATCCTGATTTTTGACGTGCACACCAGTGAAAAGTTGTTGACAGACTTAGTGGGTATACTAACATTCAGACTTTGATTCGGCAGATTCACACAGGTAGTGCACATTTCCTGTTAGGGTGAAGAAGTGAAATATGTCCATCGAAACCTCACTGAATCCGCGAATTCCATTGGATCCCTCGAGATTCGCTTCTACTTTGCTCTTCTCATAGGTTTAGAAGTCTCTGCTAATCGTCGCGCTGCAGGAGGAAGGATGGCCCGAACATTGCTAAGATTTGATGCAGGCGTGACTCCTCCTTTAGAATTTCAGTAAGCTAGATAAGCGTGGTGTTAAGCCTGACGGTTGAACCATGTCATAAGTCTGTGTGCCACTGACTGGACCTTGTTCCATTCTTGAAGGTCTTTTGTCAACTGCTTCAGGGTTTGTGCATTGTTGGGTTGTTTTGTTAGCTTTTCTTTAACAATTTTTTTCACTTAGCCTTGATTCTGTCTCTTCCATGTTCAAAACTCATTCTGTTAAGTCCTGTATTTATGGTGGTGTAAGTAAAGGAGCAACTTTTTGTGCTTTCTGCATCAAATTGTAGGGACTTGACTTGATTGGAAAACTGTCAATATGAACAACGATGTTTACTGCACTTCAGTTTTAGTAGGAACGCAGATGTAGCATAAGATTAATACGTGCTGTTTGTAGGCTTTATGTGTGTTTTGTGTTTGTGCTTGTTTCCCATTAGAATCTACTATGAAGTACGACCAAACAATATCTAGTTTATTGCATTTTAGTGGATACTTTTCTAGTTAAATATTAGTAAATATTATTTAGTAAACTATATTTGTATTTTTCTTCAATAATTTCTATTTTTGTAAAGCTAAGCAGTCTGATTCAATCAAAAAATCACCGATTTGGATTCCAGATTCAGAAGCATCACATTGTATGGTATGTGGTACTACGGAATTCAACTTGGTTCATCGTCGGGTAAGTTGTTCAATACTTTGAAGATAATTTAGTTTTCTATGTTTTGTTTGTTTTCCTGTGTTTTCTTCTTTTCGGCTGAGTTTGTCAGAGTCCATCGATCAGAAAATGTAGTTGTTATCTTTCCATGCTGATCGGACTTAGTTTTTTTGTGATGACCTGTATTATGCTAACCAGAATGCTTATTCCCTAGGCTCCCGCTATATAACGTTTTTAAGGGACTGATTCCCATCAACTCTTAGTTCAAAGATAGGGATTGAAATATTCTAATGCGTTGACAAACTGGTCGAAGAACCAGCAAAGACAGGACTCCAAGTGGACAAAGACAAGACGGAGGTTATGGAAATAACCAACCAATCAACAACAACAACAGCAACATCCAGCGCCAATCACCATCAACGCGAGGGATTTGAAAGAGGATACTTCATTCACTCACTTATCTAGCTTCGAGCATTGTCTCAACTAGAGGGAGTCGGAACGGACGAGGATGTCAAATCGAGCGAGAATCGGGAAGGCGAGCGAGAAACACATTCATCAACCTGACTGAAACCAATCTGGAAATCTTCGTCACTCAGCCAGCATCAACAACAAAATTCGGTCAGATTTTCAATACAAACAGCGTCAAGTCAGTCACTTCTTCTATACGGATCAGAAACTTGGCGGTCGGGTCACAAAAAATATTTCCAACAGGCTATTGCAGACCTTCATCAACAACTAACCGTCTTCGCTGGATCTATACTGAAGATCAGATGATCGGGCCGGAAAGAATCACCAACAAGAAACTATGGGCACAAACAAACAAAACAAGAACAAACCAATCGCCAACCAACAGATATGCAGGAGAAAGTGGAGATGGATAGATTGGACACTCACTCACCGAGGAGGCCGCTGGGTGACATCGCGCGCGCGTCAGGCCATTTCTCGAGTGGAACCAGGCCGAAAGGTAAGCAGGCAGCGAGTGGGACGTCAGTGCAAGGGTGACATGAAGGAGATTGTGTGAAGATGAGTTGAAACATTATGGACTAACATGGATGGATGCAGGTGAAAAGTACAGCAGAAGACAGAAGCAATTGGAGACGTGCAGTTGAAGCCCTATGTTCCACTGGGAACCCAAGGGAACAATAATAATAACAATAATAATATGTTGACTGAGACGAGACCCTTGAAATGGTGTACCACGAAGAATATTTGTATCCTGTTTTAGATAATAATGTCACAAAGTATTACTTATCGTCTCAACAAACGTTTATTTGATTGCATGCATACCAGAGTGGAATCACGTCTTTGGAACTTGAGTTTTTCCCTTAACCAGCTTTTGTTTTATCACTCGAGTAGTATGATCTTGTGAATAATATTTGGAATGAAATTGTAATCGTGTCTATTGCAAGTGTTCGATGTTGATTGGGTGAAGAAAGTTTTATGTTATCAGTCTTCTTTCTTTAAACACATCTTTATCTCGTCGTGTTGTCTAATTTGCCTGACTGCGTATATTGCTACTGTTGAGTTTTTCTGCAGACTTTTTTTTTGTCATTTTAGGGTCTCCTATTTAGAAGACAATTGCATCGAAGAAAATTTTCTTTTCGACGAAGTCATCATCTAGGCCGTACATTCGTGTATTTGTATCAAATGGATGGGAAACTTCCAGAATAAATTTCCGGTTAAGGGTCAAATTAATAAAAATTAGGAATTAGAATGCCATAATAAACAGGTGGACGGATAAAACTCAAAGTAGTATCATAATAACTAAGAAGATTGACATTGTGCAAGTGGGAGTTAGAAATGTAGAAATAACAAAATAGACAGGATGTTGGGATAAAAAAACTAACGTGATTAATAATTGTTTATGCAATCAGGGATTAAATATGTGGAAATAGTAGAATGACAAAATAAACACGATGTTTGGGTATGAAAATATGGTTGTGTAAACAGGGATTAAGAAAACTTAAAAATAGCATGGATAAACAGGAAGTTTAGATAAGAAAGGCAATGGGATGGTCATTACTAAAAAAATTTACCTGTTTATGATGGCCATGGCAGGGACACGGGTTGGACGTATTTCTTTTGGATACAAAGCGTGGGTTTGAGCTTTTGGATAGCTAGCGCCTCGGCTGTGCCCAGATGTCTTGATTTCACTCCCTTTGATAGGTTTGACTGAATCTTGTATATTACTTTGAAGGATTATTCAAAAGGCGCTGAATGTCTTGAATTTACCAGATGTTCTGTCACTGAACTGTATACGCGCTTTTGGTCTCCTTTTACTAACCAGGCTGGATAGTGTTCACGAGCGCGTTTTTAAAGTCGGCGCATGGGCTCCTATTTGTAGGTTCAGTTGAGTTTATGTGTGTTCTGACAACTGAATTGACCTGAACTTGACTACTTAAAACTCTCTCTCTCTCCATATATATATATATATATATATATATATATATATATGACCTTTGCACTCATTGTAATGGATTCAAAAGATCAAACTATGCTTTCGATTAGAATCAGTAAGAGCTTCTAACTGACTGAGTTTGTAGCCTTACGTATAAGTTCTGCCGGCAATTCCGTTTAACTTTTATGATCTTTTATGAGCTACACGGCATTATTTTGTTCATAGTAAAGCGTAAAATTGTATATTATAGCTCGGACGGATTATCAATGAAGAAGTCATCCTTTTGAAGAAAGTTCGCATAGAAAGAGTATTATTTGCATTATAGTGCGTTGAGGGTTTGTTTTTCGCAAGTTGTTTCAAATATTAAGGTCGTAAATACACTGCAGGCAATGGCTGTTGTCATTCCAGTGAATCTATGAGAATCTGGCCTGTGAAAGAGAAATAGCATGCAGACATAGGTTAGATGTGTGTTTTGAACATGTCAAACACTTCTGTTATCATCCGGGATGACTGAAATATTCCGTAACACATCGACGACATTATGCGATGAATGAGACAGGCTGCCGAATTTCCTGGTGATTATATCTATTTTGATGAAGTTCCTAGTTAAAAGTGCTTGGGTGAAGATGTGATAATAGTTTAATTGACATTTGCACATGGAATTCCAGAAGGCCTTAATTGCTCAGTGCATGAAATGGCATCAGAGTATATTGACATCAGTGTTCATCGTGTCTCGAAGAATAGTATAAATAGTCCTTCTCAAATGTCAGAGTACTTAAAATGAGTATCAGCTTTCTGTTGATTAGTAGCTAGCAGCTGTGTCACACAACTACTACACCTGTTGCATAGGTTATATCAATCTTAATAATTATTTTGTTTCACATCACCAAGATATTCTGAGATCCTTAATGACTTAATTGTGGCTATGAAAGATGCACTTATAGCCCTTATATTTCAAGCAGTTATTACTAAACAAGTTATCTGTAAGCATTTTGTGATGTTCTGGTTACAATGCTTCAGTGTATAGGGTTACTGCCTGCTTCTGTGAGTTAAGGGATATTTGGTGAAAATCATGATACAATGAAGGTTCCTATAGACTCACTATGAATACTGCAAACTGTTGATAAGAAACTGCCTCAAAGGAAAAAATGCCGAACAGCTAGGAAATACTACCTCAGTCTCGATGGTTATTACCTTTTGTATTTGTAAATCATCCTTCAAAAGCTCAGATTAACGGCAAACCATCCATGGTACCCCACAGGCCCTACAGAAATTTGTGAGAGACCTTACATGTCAGGTTGTCTTAGGAATTGTAAGGTTGCAGATATTTCAGTTTACCTGTCACTGAAATATCACTTATGTACTTCACGATGTTCTTTTCATTTGTGCACTATTACACTATATTTTATCTTAACTGTGTACAGTGTTCATTGTTGAGGGTTTACAATTTAACTCTTATCATAGCCTGTTGTAGTTATTATTATTTGCTTCCTGCTATCCTTTAGAAGATGAACAATAGGTGTGACAGTGAAAACCACAGAAGAATGCTGTCATAAACGAAGAATGAGAAAGGAGAATGAACCATTTTCAGCAAAGGTAGGCAAATCTAAAGCGTTTAACTTTAATATTACTTCTTTGTTTACTTTTCTGCAGCTATCCGGTAACGTCATTCAACCCGGTCGCATTGCTTCGACATTGTCCAAAGTATTACGACGAACAACTGCGTAAAGACATGTGCTTATTATTATTTTTGATTAAATATATTTAACATCCTACTTACCAGACCTTTTTTATTTAATCTGATTGTGGATATATTTGTCATGATGACTAGATGCAGGCGCCAGTTATTAATAAGACCTGACGAAGTAATTGGTGGCATATAGTAGTGTAAGGTAAATCTAACTACGAGTGCTACAGCTGAACGAATTCAATAATTTGTCTCGTGTAGTCTGAAATTTACGCTACGTGTTAACAGCCTTAGTCATATGGAATGACATCACGCTTTAAGTGAAACATTAGTAATGCAATACTTTAGAATACACGTAACCGTATGAGAACTGGAACTCGAATGCAGTGCCTAAGTTATGCCTACTATTGTCATTTGTCCCTAAAGACTTCTATATGACTATGACCGACATCGTTCCTACGCAATTACACTTACGTATAGTTAAAGTCCTAGAGAGCACCGGTCTAGCATGCCGTGCTCAATAAGGGAACACATGAATCGAAAGACAACAAGATTGACATGAAAATTGTATTTTACTTATGATACAAATTCAGTTTATTTACATATTCAGAGTACGATTGATTCCTGCGGCTACTTCTACTACATAATTCCTGGCAAACACTTCTCCAAATTCGTCATGAATTTTCCTCAAGCCCTTGACCACAATACTTATGTAGCTTTCGAATGCGGCACTTCGATTTTGAGGGACAACAGCTGACGTGCATTGAGATGCGAACAAGTCGCGTGACCACGCCCATTGTTTGCAATTCTGCATCACATGGTTAACTACAAAAGGTGAAACAAAAAACGTAAAGATAACTATAAACTGAATGTTACACGTGCAATGATGGTAGTGCTTGTGTCTTGTTTCCAATTAAGGCAATGTACACACGAATAGTTTAATAAAAATTACAACTTTCCGTATATAAGAACATTAATTAATTAAATTTCTGTCGACATAAATTAAAAACGGAGTCATAAAAACGCAAATATACCTGTGAAATACGGCTTTCTGAAGTGGACCAAAAGCAAGTGTCGGCAGGGGTACCGACAGGTCTGAAATGTAAAGCACGTGCAGGTGCAAGCACTCAGATCAACCTGCACTGTATTCCCATTTTCTTTGAAAAATACATAATCAAAAGATTCAAACTCAACAGTAGCCCATCGTCGCCATTGGTATTCACGTATTACCTTCCTCGCGGCGTAGGGCGTCAGCAATCGTATTATTGGGATTACACGTTGTGCACATGGATAAGTGAAGCATCGCGACTGGGCAATAACCGCCTCCTGTTGTATTCTTGAAAAACTTCGTTCATACCATTTATACACCTTTAGCATACTTTTATGCAGACTATCACATCTTTGCAAATACCGTTTCATTTGCTTGTGAGAGCTCTCGACGCGATTATTGGTATCATTCCCAAAAGTCAGCACGTTGTCTCTAAAACATGCTGCCCACAATTCTCGTCTATGCATCCAACGACGTTGTAGATATTGACTGACAGTAGGATCCAATCTGCTAATGACTCTGAAATAGAAATTAAATCTGGAAAATGAGAACATTAAAGGCATTACTCTGATCTCCTTTTACACTGCACTAAGCGGCATAAGTAGTTCTTAACAATGGGATTTCTTGTCTACAAATAAAATGTGAAGTATGTTTTGAAAAACTCACTTTACGACAGAATGCTCGACAAACATGGAAAGAACACAAAACAATGTGCGCTTGTCTGTGCGTTAACTTGACGGCTGCTATTTCAGCTTGCGCACAATCCATTATGAAAGATTCGGTCTTGGAGGTGTCTTCCATTATTTGACGAAAACAATCTAATATCCAAACTACATCTCGTTTGAATTCTTTTCTAGTCCACGCAAATAAAACCGGTCGTCCACGACCGAAATTATCCGTCACAAGTAACTGGAACAGTGAATACCTGCACGTTGATTAATGGATTGGTAAACTTACTTCCCTTTATTTGTATTATACGTTGAATCGATACCAACAACTTCAGGGAACTGTTTATACATTTCGATTTGCTCATCAGTTGCAAAACAAATTCTTGTTAGTGAATTCCTGATCGGTTCATCGGAATAATACTCCATTAACTTCCCACGGGATTTTAGGAATTCAAAAATGTCACGACGACTCGAAATACCTTAAGTATGTAACAAGTACGTCAACGTTACCTTTATTAACTGCGGCTTTCATATTTTTAACGTCAATGCGAGTTATATCCTTGTGGTACTTCTCCTTAACATGCATTATTATTTCATCGGATGAGTGGGATTGCTGAAGAAGTGGTTCAACATTTTCTTTCTCTTCAACTGTTAGTCGTCTAAACCATGAGTCATTCTGCATGTACACCCTGCTGCATGGATGGTTATGTACCATATTGTGGGAAGCAATTATGA